CCTGAGATACTAGAGAGACTTGTTGTCTCAGCCAGCGCAGGTTCAAGGTCTGCAGGTCATGTCCGTCGAGGGTAATTCGTCCAGCAACGGGATTGTAGAACCGCTCGATCAGACCGATGACTGTACTCTTACCGGATCCCGAGGGCCCAACAAATGCTGTCGTTTTCCCAGCTGGGATGTAGACACTCAGATCATTGGCAACAATGACCTCAGGCCGCGACGGATAGACGTGTCTGATGTTCTGCAGGACAATGTTGCCCTTGATGTGGCCGAGCTTCAGACCCTGATCTGACGACGCATCCAGGGGCGACGGCCTGTCAATGGTACTGTACAGCTTGGATGCCGCAGCCACGCCATTCGAGATGGCCTGAGTGTTCGGGGCAACGTTTCCCAGATGGTACGACCCCAGCATAATGGACATGAGGATGGTGAGAATATCACCTGCCTGGACACCACTATCTCCATGCACGAGGAAGATACTCCCACGCCAAAAGCCTAACCCATAATTCAGATGGATGCAAGAGAGCAGCGCACCCACCATAATGGCAAAGGTGATCTGCGCTTTTCTAGCAGGCCCCTCAGACTCCAGCAAATGGGCATCGTACTTGGCAGCCAGCACATTTTGAGCATCAAAGGCCACAACTGTCCGCACGGAGTCAAGAATATCCTCGGCAAAATTACCGCAACGACCCTGACAGTCAAGCGATCTCTTGCTATACACCATGGTAAACATGGATCCTCCTCCCATGATAACCAGCAGGGCAATAAGGGTGGAACTACAGATCAAAGCCAACTTCCAGAACTTGATGTAGGCGATGATGAATGCTGTAGCAAAGGTGGATAAACCAGTCAGCGCCAGGCCGACTTTCTCGGAGATTCCATCCTGGATCAGGTTTGTATCTGCCGTGATGCGGGTGGTAATTTCACCGGCTCCCAGGTTATCGAAGAAAGCAATGTTCTGGCGCAGAATGGCACGCAGGTATTCCACGCGGATGCGCTGGACGACATGGTCACCGGTGTAGATGAAGCCGGCGGTCGCAATGTAGATGGTTAGGAACTCGGCGACGGCGAGGTAGATAAAGTAAACAACATATCGATTGAGCTCATTATGGAAGTGCTCGTAGGTGATGGTGCCAGCGACGATGTCTTGGAAGGTTGAGGTGAGGTTGCCGAAGAGGACCTATGATGGTTAGGACAATGCTGAAGATAGAGAACAAATGTACCCACGGTGAACAGAGGCAGAGCAGCCCCTCCTGCTACAGATGCGACCGAGCTGAGGATGATGAGGAATATGTCCAAGCGACTGGCATATCGATAGATGCCAAAGAAGCCTGGCTCAGATGTGGGCGCATTCACCTGTTTGTCGAGGATGTCCTTCTCGACGTCGGACAGGGAGATGGCAGTGCTATCTGTGCCCGGAGACTATTGTGGCATGTGTCAGTTGTACAGTGGGTTTCATATAGCATGGGGATAGTGACACTCACCTTAGGAAGTTCTTCCAGGCAAATGTCCTCCTTCCACTTCATGATGTCGACAGATGGTGACTACCAGCATGCGCCATCAAGTGGACATTACTATTAGTGTATTGTAGCAAGAAAAGCAACAGTCAAACAGAAAGAGATGACACAACGATCAGACGAGTCGCACCCCAACAGAATGCCCAGTCCAAAATTAATCGGACAGAGACCGGATCCAATCTATCCGTCACATGAACAGAAACAAGTCATAGAATCTCCAAGAAATCCAGAAACAAGAAGAAGAAAACCCCTATACTTGAAACCTCAGAAATGGTAAACACAGCCCGAGGTGAACTGCAGCGAATCCCACGGATCCCCAGCAGATCCCGACCATCCTTATTCGCATTCCACCCATCCATCGGCGCACGAGTTCGTAGTGAACTTGCAAGAACTCTAATTATCAGAAGACCAAAGATGGGTTAACCGGGGACATGGCCCGTGTGGAACCCAGCGTTTCAAGCCGAACGGGATCGTCAGGCACAAGGCCAGAAACCCAATATTAGGGCTGCGGGATAACCATGTGTTGCTGCACTCATGCCTGGAACCTCAACCCTTTCAGCCGCGGATCCGTATGTCGGATATTACAACCCCTCCGACAATTCTACCGGCCTTGGCTACGGGTATGTGTGCTTGTTTCGGGGTGTGGGCTCGGGCGCATCTTGTTGAAACTGGGGTTGGGTGAGGACCGGTGGGAGTTGACTCAAATTTGGGTCCCGCGCCGCCGTTTGAAGTCGTTGACTGGCAGATGCCATTGGACCCTGCTCAGGTTGGTCTTAGCACGTTTTCTACACTAGCTTAGCTAACTACCTTAAGTTTCTTCTAAGAAGCCTCGGTTTGATGGATCAAATTCCTCGGATGAAAACTTTAAAAAATTTTCGTTCCTTAATGTTATATTGGAAACTATGGTGTTGCACCAAAACTTTAATCTGGGTATAGCATCAAATCTTAAATCCACAAAGTGTAAATGAAAGAAAGTGGGTGAAGAGAAAAAGTTAAAGAGATGAAAAGAAAGAAACGTGTCAAGGTAAAGGGAATTTTCGTGAAAGAAAGAATTATTAGATAGCCTCTCGCTTCCGGAGCTTCAGCTTCAAATCGGGCACCTCCCAGAAGGCGTAGCAGCGACTCTCCCGCTGCCAGTCCTTGACAGGACCAATATACTCTGCCTCGTATTCCATGAAGAATGACGCTAAAGTAAGTTGCATCATCTGTTTCGCGAAGTATTTGGCAACGCAGGACCGGCTTCCCACCAAGAAGGGCTGAACTGCCTCCTTCTTGTCGGTGGATTCGGGGTCTGTCCACCGCTCAGGAATAAACTCATATGGTTCGTTGAAGTATTCCGGATTGTGATGTAGCGCAAACAAGGATGTGCAAATTTCGGTCTGTGACGAATTGGCTGGTTAGCAAACTCAATTTTCGAGCAGGTCATGTCAGGCCACTTACCCCGGCTGGAATGTAAGTCCCGTCAACATAGGCTCCCGGTGAGACGCGCGGGCCTCCAAGAGGCACTGGTGGGTACAGACGGAGAGACTCCGTGATGATGGCGTTCAGGTAGGGTAGGCTCGCGGCGACATCTCCAGAGACATCTTCAGGGGAGGCGAACGCCGCTTGCAATTCGCTGATCAGCTTGGCATGGGCCTCAGGGTGTGTCAGAACGAAGTAGATGGTGGCACAGAGAGCGTTTTGAGTGGTGTGGAAGCCAGCTAACATGATGGCTGAGAAATTCTCGGCAATTTCATCCACTGGCAGGTCACTGGTGGCGGCTCTCTCCATCACTTCGACCATGATGTCGCGACGGGTGTGGGACGCAGTCAACTGCCTATAACCTGCATTAGCGTTTTGTGTCAAACACGCTACTGTGGGAATCCGCTTACTCGTTAATGAGTCGCATCCGAGCCTGCTCTGCACGAGAGCGGACACCCTTCCGGATCAAGTAGCGCAGCATCATCTTGATCATAGTGGGGACTCCAGACCCAGCAAACTGGTCACGGATTGTGGCCCAGAAGAAGATGCGGCTGAGCTGCTCGGTCCAGAAGTACGGCTTGCCTCGCTTCAAACAGCCCAAGGACTTGCCAAGGAGCACTTCGGAGACGGTGTCCACGGAGTGGCAGTAAAGCAGCCGGTTGAGACTGATAGTGTCGGTGGTCTTAAGAGTGGCATTGATGACATCGTGGAGGCGCGAGGTACACTTCAGAACCACGTTTGCATGAGCTTGCATGCTGTTGGGAGTCATGGAGGGATTGAACAGCTTCCGAACGGAAGCATGGTAGACCGGGTCGCTGGCCGTGAAGATGTTGCGGCGAGAGATGCCCTTGTAGAAGCCTGTCTTGAGGAAGGTGCTGCCTTTGCCAGATCCGGCGCCATAAATGTTACGAAGACCTTTGATGGTGTTGGTGGTGGCTTGTCCTGGTGCGAACCTGACAATTTTTCCTGCTCGATTTAGTAGCTATCAGAACGCACCGGTCAAGAGGAACATACCGTATGAGACATGGAGGGAGTTGAAGTAGTGTGCACTCCGTCCAGTGACAAAGTTGAGCTTGGTAGCAATCTGTATGTTGTTAGAGGAAGAGGTAGGTCACGTAAAGATAGGTTACCTACACCACAGCAAAAAAGATCGAGGAAGGAGCCCGGGACGCCCTTGATGGTAGGACCCTTAGGAAGGAATTTGATCAAAAGAATGAAGATCCAAGGGACCTGACAATTAGCCAACACTCTACCACCAGGTTAATGCGGGACATACAATGACAACCGCCATGACCGGCAGGGACAGGTTGCTAGGGTTAATCTCGGGCATTTGGCCCGAAGGCAAGGCCATCGCAAACACCATTTTGACGAGTGAAACGAGAGAGTGAAAGTTGGATCTGGTCAAACAGCAGCAGCAGGAAAGTTCAGACTTGGTCTATTTATGATCTGGCCGACCATCACCATGCGGAGGATGAGGGCAACTGTTCGTTGGGATCCGCTCTGGTTCTCCTTTCTCCATCGCCCTTCTCCATCCTCCAGTCTCCAATGCTGTGACCGGCATGCAGAACAACAGGGGTCAGCCGATGGATGGTTGGGAGTTCCGCCAGTGTTTTTTAGTTTACCTCATTTAACCTTGTCGGATTAGGTTCCATTCACGGTAATTCCTCGGGAAGTCGCCGTTATCTGAGGATGATCTGAGGCTTGATCGAACCAGGTGATCCTGTTGGAGGGTGTGGCCCTCCATGTCGATCCTGATGCGACGTGGAACCATGGATGGAGGGGGTTGTTCTGATGGGTTTAGGGTTGGAGCTAAACCCCCAGATTTGTGGTCGCGTTGCTTGAAACTCCGCCGGCGCCCTTCCCAATTTCCTCAATTTTGGGTGAATTCTCAACTCCTCCGCCAAGCACCTCCTATCTCAATTAACCACAAACAATGCGGAGTCAGCACGTATCACAAGAACACGAGTTTAAAAGGGTCCTTGTGGCGGACCCTGAATGTGCCTTAAGTAGTGTCAGGGTCCATCTGTTTCACTGCGGTTTCGTCCAACAATCCGCCTCTTGTCATTCGTTCACCCTCTTTTCGAAGCTTCTCTCAATCATTGAACCTTGAATCTTTCTTTTCTTATAATTGACTGCTCAACCAGCGGGGCTGGCATTGAGCATACTTCCTTTTTCTACCATGTCCAAACAACCTACCAAAGTCCTCTTTCTGGCCAACAGTGAACATGGTCAAACGAACATCATCCTGGCAATCACGCACGAGCTCCTCGTCCAAGGAGACGTTGAAGTCCATATTGGCTCATTCCCGGTCCTTGAGCGCCGGGTGGAGAAACTTCTGGCAGACAACGCACCTGCTTATGACGAGTCCTTCCGGTCGCGTATTCATTTCCACCCTGTAAGGGGTCCCTCCAACACCGATGTCTTCATCCGCACGGGCAAGCGTGGTGCCTTTCACCCCCCGGGCTACCATGGTGCTGTCCTCGGCTTCCAGTCTCTGTGTGAAGACATCTGGGGTTGGACGGAGGAGGAATATGTTGACATCTATGAGAGTTGCGTTGAGATCATCCAGGAGGTCAAGCCTTCGACGATTGCAATTGACTTCTTCTTCCTTCAAGGCAGAGATGCTGCCTACAACACGGGCCATACAGCCATCCTGATTAATACAACCTCCCTGAGTCACATTGTGCTCGGAATGCAACCCAACTCGGCTGCTCTATGGAAATACCCCCTGTGAGTATCTTCCCTCAGTATGATTAGTCAATTGCTAATATAACAGACCTGGAACTGGCTTCCCCTACCCCATCCCCTGGCATCTCATCCCGCTCAACGTCATGGCTGTCCTCAAGACGGCCAAGATGTACCATGGCAGTGGACGACGTCGGGAGATCCGTGAATGGCGCATCAAGCACAAGATCCACGGTCGCTTTCCGTTTGCCGATGCCTGGCGTCCGGATAGATACCACATCTCTCCAGGCCTGAAAGAGCTGGACTGGCCATTCAGCAAGATGCCTGAGAATATCCTCCCGGCTGGGCCAATCCTGCTTCCCACCGCTTCGGTCGAGAAGCAGGATCCTCAGATGCACAAGTGGCTGAAGCAGGCCCCAACTATCCTCGTCAATCTCGGAACCTTGTATGCACCTGATCCCAAGGTTGCTGAGGAGATTGCAACTGGCCTGAAGGGATTTCTCAACGCCTGGAAGGGCGAGAAAGTGCAGATCCTGTGGAAGCTGCCCAAGCATCCACATGATAAAGACGACATTTACAGCCGCTCCATCGAGCCTCTCAAGAAGGAGACCGACGAGGGAAGCGTGCTGATCCGCCCGTGGTTTGAGGTGGAGCCCATGGCCATGTTGCAAACGGGCCAGATTGTCTGCTCCGTCCACCACGGCGGTGCCAACTCGTGGTACGAAGCTATTCAGTAAGTTGCTCCTCGGATTCGTAACCTGCGCTGTATCCTAACCTTTACAGAAATGGCGTTCCCCATATCGTCCTTCCAGCCTGGCAAGACTGCTACGAGAACGCTGCTCGGGCGGAATGGCTAGGCATTGGAGTCTACGGCAACAAGAGCCGGGCTCCCAACATCAGCGCTAAAGAGTTGAGCAAAGGACTGCTGAAGGTGATGAGCAACCGCTCTTACAAGGAAAAGGCAACCGAAATTGCCAAGCTGTGTAAGAAAGAAGGTCGTGTCGCCGCTGCAGAAAAGATTGCAGAACTGGCACGTAACCCGGAGAAAGCGACAGCGATCCACATCCCTGAAGCCGACCCAGAGAATCAACCACGATTGTACGAGATCAAAAATCGTGCAGGCCAGACCCTCCAAACTGCGCAGATGCCCAAGACCGAAGGCAAAGGCGCATCCAAGTAAGTCCCCTTCCTTTCTTTCTCCCACTCCAACAACGCTTTAAGATTTAATCTAATCAACCAACAGACCCTTCCTAACCGACATGGCCGAATCCGTTCTCATGACTCTCCTCTGCACCACCTGGTTCCACCTCCCTCTCCTGGGCTACTCTCTCCTTCTGATTCCCCGTCTCCGCCTGGTCGTCCTCCTCTACATTCTCTACATCAAATACTTTTCCAAGGCCCACAAATCCGGCACCCTGCCCTACCGCAACGACGCCTTCCGCACCTCCTTCGTTTGGAAAGCCTTCGCCTCATACTTCCCTCTCACCCTCTACCGTTCTGCTCCTCTATCCCCAAGAAGAAAATACATTTTCGGCTACCACCCGCACGGCGTTGCCCTGCGCGGGGCATTTGGCTCCTTTGCCGCTGACAGCGTCGGCTTTTCCTCCCTCTTCCCAGGACTAACCAACACCCTGCTTGTCAAAGACGGCTTCTTCTATCAACCCTTCCTGCGCGAATATCTCCTTGCCACAGGGGCAAGCGGCGTCTCCCGCACCTCATGCATCAAGCACCTCACTCGCGGTGGACATGACGAGCGAGGCATGGGCCGCTCCATCGCAATCACTGTCGGCGGGAGTCGTGAGTATAACATCGCCAAGCCGGGCACCATGGGGATTGTAATCAAGATCCGCAAGGGCTTCGTCCGCGTCGCGGTCGAGACAGGGGCGGATCTAGTCCCTGTTATTGCGTTCGGAGAGAACGAGTTGTTTGATTTGATTGATACGAAGTCGTCGTCGGCACTAGGGTTGGTCGCGAGAGCGTGGGAGTTTGCGGTCGGTCACAAGGTTGCGTTTTCGAAAGGCAGGTTTGGGTTGTTTTGTCCGCATAGGAAGCCACTCAATGTTGTTGTCGGCAAGCCGATTGAGGTTGTGCAGCAGAGGTGGGATATGGATGAGAAGTATGTTGATAAGTTGCATGAGACGTATGTGCAGGAGTTGACGAGGTTGTGGGATGATTGGAAGGAGACGTTTGGAGTGGAGAGGGATGTGAAGTTTGAGATTGTGGAGTAATCTGTCTTGTCTCACTCTACCAGTTACTACTTTCTCTGGATATTTTTGTGGCCAGCTGGCTGGCTGGTATTTTGGGGTTTGTGACTCTTGTTGTATATTTCTCTGATAGCTTTTTTATACCTTGCATAGTAGGGAGACTGAACACTTAATGCTTGCAAAGAAGATACCTCATTCTGCTTAACTTCTTCTCAAAGATTGTCTGTCACTTCACATAGCCCAACCCCTACTTTTATAAGACCCTATCAGGTGTAATTAAATACTAAGCTACTCACCTTAGGAATGAGTGCCACGCTGAAGTACGAACGCATGGTAGAAAGCTGTGGTGCTGGTAGTGGCGCTGGGGCTGACCTCGGCCCGACCCTAAAGAAGCATAGCGGGCTCGACAACCATGGTGTCCGTCTTCATCCAAGGTCACCTTCTTTCCTGATAGGTATTGACGTCATCTACGTTAATCCCATTCCTCATCTGCCATGGAGATGCATAGTCCCTGCATTACGCTAAACGCCAATGTGCATCGTAGAGAGTTCCACTTCGCATATGATCCGTAAAGGGCCAAGTCTAAGGCGACCAACCTGAAAGCGGGGTAGGGAAATGAAGTCCGGCCCTAACAAGACTACCAATTGGCTAACCGGTGAGACAGTAAGGCTACCCAAGCTAAAGGTGGGGTTTAATTATTGTTATCCAACTCATATATGAAAGACCCGAAAAACTGACCGAGGCTGAAAAATTCCATCGTATCGTTCCAGCTGCGCTCTGCTTCATAACATAATGGCCGAACAGCAACTAACCTGGCTTGTTACTGGCTGCTCTTCTGGCCTGGGGGAGGCTTTAGTGCGGGCTATTCTTGATAAGGTATGATTCTCTCTCCCCGAGGACATCTCCATAAAGTGAGAGCTGAACAAGATCAACAGGGCGATAAAGCCATAGCCACAGCCCGCGGCAGCAAAGGTGTCAGCGGTACCGATCGTCTCTCCTCCCTCAAAGATGCCGGTGCAGCCGTCTACGAACTTGATATGGCATCTCCGGAGGAAGAGATCAAGAAACAAGCCCAAGACATCTGGGACAAGTACGGACCGATAGACGTTCTAGTCAACAACGCGGGATACATTGACATATCTACTTTCGAAGAAATGACGTATGTCCCTACACTCTTGGGTTTATAACTATCTTCACTGAAAAAGTTATAGAGACGACTTCCTCCTCAACTCCATCCGCATCAACGCCCTCGGCCCCTTCACCCTCACCCGCGCGCTCCTTCCCCGCATGCGCGCCCGCAAGTCCGGAACCATCCTCTTCTCCGGCTCCGTGGGCATCTACTATGCCGCTCCCTGTGCGGGGCCCTACGTAGGCCCCAAGGGGATGATCGAGAGTATGGTGCCGGTTCTGGCGACGGAAGTGGCGCCGTTCAATATCCGAGTGTCGATTTTGACGTACGGGCATTTTCGTACGCAGGTCATGGCAGCTGGGGTAATTCAGTACCGGAATCCGAATCGCTTGCCGGAGTATGAAGAGATAAATCAGCGAGCGCATGATGGTTGCTTGGAATGGAGTGGCAATCAGCCGGGGGATCCGAGGAAGGGTGCTGAATTGGTGGTTGAGGCTGTTAAGGGGGAGGGGAGGTGTAAGGGGATGGAGTTGCCGTTGAGATTGCCGTTGGGGTCAGATACGTTTGGTATTGTGAGGAATACTTGTCAGGAGTTGATGAGGGTTTGGGATGAGTGGGACGGGGTTACGTCGCGGACGGATTTTGAGTAGGATGTTCATGGATTCTAGGATAGTAGGTGGCGTGGTAGAGAAGGGTCACTTGATTGGGGCGATGGATGATGTACCCACAATATAATAGCTACTTGACTCTTATATATCTAAGAATATGGCGGTATCAATGAAGTTATGGACCTGTACTCGAAAGACTGAGTTTGAGATAACAGATATGTAAGAAAGGTCGAAGTAAAGGCCGAATTTAACTTAATGGATACTATAATTCAACCCAGGAAGTCAAGTGAGAGCCACCATCATTGTCTAGTGAGGGTATACTGATCATCTGAGTGAGGATACCACAAAGAAGCCTCAGGCTTCTGCCTATATATACCCCCAAATTCCCCCTTCTCCTCCTTGCCCTCTTCGTCTCCTCAACACCAGGTCTCCCCCTCTCCTTGCCACCTACCTCTACCATACCTGATTCACGCAACTACAAAAACATTCTCCTCAATCCACGAAAGAAGATAACTCACTACAACAACAATGCCTTCCGAAGCCGCTGATGAATGGCCCAAAACCTCTCGCCAAAAGGCAGCCAAGAAAGCTCAGAATGCCAGGCGGGCCAAACATGAAGCTATGAAGAAGAGAACGGAACACGCACGACAGCATAGAACTAAACCCGACCTTTCCAAGGGTTTATTCAAGTCTCAGCCGGAGAATGATATTGCAAATGCTGGATCTACCTCTCAGGTCCCCGCTGATACCATCCGAGCTTGATTCGAAGACTTCATGATAGATGTTCGCCAAATGGACATGTACTCAGAGGCCTGTAAAGCTAGTTCATTCGATGAGGTCTCCAATCGCTCCGCTGATTACTATCGGCTGGCCATGATGCTAGCAGTTACCTTGGAGGAAGCAGCGATAAAGTTGGAGAGGAGGTTTTCTCGCGAAGTTGAGCTTCGTAGTGATAGTATTTGAGACCACTATGACAAGGATTGGGACTTGGAGACTTTATCTGCCGAGGAAGAGCCTAGAGTAATTGGTCAATTGATTAGGGTGTGGGGCGCATTGCCCACAGCGGTGGCTGATGTTTATCCTGACAGGTACCTGCCAGTCTGGGAACTGCTGGTAAAGAAGGAACAAGACTGGAATGTTGTTGTGAACTGGATAAACAGTGCTGTTCTGGCGAGGTGTGGAAGACAGGCATTGAAAGGAAAATGTGTTCCCCGAGTTCTGGGATGTGATCTTCTAAAGGCATTGAATATGCAATCGCCAGTGGAGCCTGTCTCGAATGAAGACCTATCAATGATCAATGGCAAGTTCAACCGGCTGGGACTCATTACGCTTGCAGCCACCAGTTATGAGAAGGGGAAAAAGGGCAGCAAACATGACGCTTAATTCTCCGATTAAACATATATCCTGATACGACGCTATCATCTTGATAAACCGGATGATAGAGAATGATTAAACATCACATGGGGCTGATGGTCCATCTTAGCTGCTTCATGCTTACATAGTCCATCATTCCGCTTGTGTCATGCTCCATTCACTAGAGCTTTGGCACCAGTCATATGGCTCACAATCTGCTTGTATCACAATAATTATATACAAACTGGAAGTACCTACACCTAAATAAGACGAGATGTAAAAAGCGTAAGGTCAGTATGTAGTCTTTCCATTATCCAACTCAAGACCTGTAGGTTTGCCGACATAGGTTGTACATAGGACGGTTATGTAAATTCTTTTCTAGAACATTGGAGACTTATTTACAACATTAGAACCATTCTTGTTTTCCTCTTATACTCCTAAAGGTCACTTCATGTATAATGGAGACTGTTTCCTAGACAGATACCCATTGACAATCCTTACACGGTTTATATCCGAGGACTAGTTATGGCCATCACTAGGACTTTTCATCCATGATAACATTATCATGGAATATTGGTGACTATCTATGATACCTCTACTTGAGCATGGATGGCAGCCCTCTTTCGTGATCCCAGCTTCGTCTGCTCATAAATCAAACCATAAGCTACTAGTTGAGACTACTGCTCTCGATTCCATCGGGGCAATTCGTATTCGTCATTGACATAGAATATCCCAGCTAGCTCTCGAAGCCTTTAACATATCAAATATATTTAATTGTTGTCTCTGATAATTCAGATGGTAGGGGGTGCAAAACCTCTCACCTCTACCCAATATTCACGGTTGATTAAGATGTTTTACTTCTATCCGCCACGTCCTCTTGAGAACAGGAGTTTAAATTTGACCGCACTATCCTGATCATCTAACTGACAGAAAAAATCAAGTCAAGGCAGTTCATACAGCCCTTTCCCTCCTCCAAATCTTCATCGGCATCGGCCCCGAACCAAGATTCGTAGTCTCATGTCTCTCCGGCTCCCACCCCGGATACGGCAAAGCAAATTCGAAGCGATGCACCAGCGAAGCAACCAAAATAGTCTGCTCAAGGTAGCTAATATTGCGACCAATACATCCTCTCGCACCAGTACTGAAGGGGATGAAGTACGGCTGCAATTCTTTCCCCTTCTCTCCAAGCCACCTCTCCGGACGGAAAGCCTCAGGATCCGGAAAGACGGATTCGTTGCGATGGACCACATATGCTGACATCCCCACCGACGTGTTACCCGCGATGTGGTCCGATAGAATCATGGTACCCTCAGGCGGAGTCCGTCGCGGAAGCGCAAATGACACAGGCGGAAACAGTCTGAGACTTTCGTCCAAACAGGCTCGAAGGTAGGGGAGATGCTTGACTTTGTCGTAGGGTGCAACGATCTCGTCGTCGTCTAGGACACCATCAACCTCTTGCCGCAATTTCTCCAGACAACCTGGGTTATTAAGGAGAAGAAGCATAACATTGCTCAGCGAGATCCCAGTTGTATCCGACCCGGCATTCATCATGATACTGATTTCTGCGACGATCTCTCCCCATTCCAAATTGTGAGGGACATTAGATTTATCTTCCATTAGCGCAGAGAAGAAATCATCGAGCTGTTCACCATTCTGGTAACGCTTCCATCGTGTCGTGGCACGGTTGTAGACGATGCCGTCCCAGTCGTTGTTGAGTTTCCATTTCTGGTTGTATGTCGGAGACAGGATCTTGCTTGCTCGCACCAGGGTCTTGTACCAGTCGTAGCACCAGACCAGAGTAGCTGTTGCTGAGCCAGTGGCGAAAAGGCAGTCTCGGAAGTGTACTCGCTTTGTCTTGCCATCCATGGACTCTGATGTGATTAGATCATTCCCCTGGTCGAGGAATTTGATGTCCTCGCTGAGACCGATGTTCGCGATAGCAGCTATGGTGAATAGATTGGTCCACATGCGATAGTCAATTGTGAGGTCCTGTTCGAGAGGACGATGGTTCTTTGGTAATGGATCCGTGCATCTTGCATCAAATTGTTTGATCAGGCGGTGCGTCATGTCGGCGACTTTGTACTCCCAGGTTTCTAGGTTCTTGAGCGCGTATGCGCTGGACAGAACTTTACGCTTTCGTGCATGTTCGCCCTTGTCGACGACATCGGCGAGGTGAAAATGTGACCCAGCGAGGGTGGAGTAGAATATGTCTTTTGTACAGGTTGTCCCGTGGCCGTAGATGTCTTTGATGGCCTCTGGGTCTGCATAGGAGAGATAGTTGGGTCCGATGCGGACGACGGGGTGGGTTTTGTGTGCTTCTAGGAGACGCTTGTAGCGGATGCCTTTATGCGAATAATAAACGAGAGGTAAGTCTGATATTCCGGACCATAATGTAAGGTTGGGGTATTTGCGAAAGCCTTTAGGGTCGCGGAAGTAATTGATGATGGGGAGGATGAAGTAGTAGATGACGAGAAGGGCGAGTAGAAGGAGGATTAAAGGGATGTACATCTTCAATAACAATAACAATCGTGAATTGCACTACTATATAATCAAGTCATCTTCAATGATGGCATTGTTGAGCCAGCTTATATATCCTTCTAGCTATGAATGCTGGCTACTGATGCTTCAGTGATGTAGTAGTACACTGCAACGATCGAAATGGAAACACTCGCCGAATGCACCTCAAAACGGTTAGTGCCGGCGAGATGATCCCAGAGCGGTGGCATGCAGCAACCAGTTGGCGATGCGTCGCAGCGAGCAGACCCTAGAGCACTTCTGCAAGACTTCGTAGTTCTGAGGCCCGCCTGATAGAACTAGGCTCTATCTAGAATGCAATTTTGGGTATGTTAATACTTGTACTGCAGGTAGGTCATGCTTGCTCCCATTTCGTGGTCATTGACCCCCTTGCTGTAGCAGACGCTGCTCCACAGCCACGGCAGTATCATTGCGGTTCTCAGAGAGACCATTGAATGTGACATTATCCTTGATGGCCGGAGAATTGGGTCTATCCAGTTAATAGGCTTCCATCTACTATACAAAGGCTGCAAGAGTCATATACTACACATCACTTTGAACCGATCTACGAGGGAGTAGGGTTTCTACCCCGCGATTCAGGGATCATTTGAGCAAAGTCTAACGGTCGTGTCGCATATCTCGGTAATTGAGGCAAGTAGAATACGGCATTTCCAATGCTTTGTCTGTAAATATCATCGCATCACGCGCTAAAACACAAGACAAGGCTAGTTACCGATCCAGGGTCTGTGTGAAGCGGAATGCGGGGATCCATAAGCGATAACGGAAGATCTAGGCCTAACAGTCCACTAACACATAATTTTGGAATATGAAGTTCAAAAACGGTGAAGAAGAAAGTGGTGAACCCCGCATACGAAGTTGAGGTGCATGCGGGGGTGGAATTGCTGACCGAACGGGTAACCCTCGGCGAACCCCTCCCGTTTCGACAGATAGTCTGCTCTTTGTTCTACTTGCCCTCAACAATCCCACCACCACCTGCTACTGATGCCTACAAGGCGCGATCCATGGTATGTACACCCTATGTGTCGATTTTGAGTGGCAGTGAACTGACTCATTGTAGCCAGCATTGCCGAAGTATGTTCCTTCCCAATGACTCTCTACCGAGGCTAAATATATATTTTGATCATATACAGAACATCATCTGAAATGTAAACACAAACTCTCACCCACCAAGCAAAACAGCTAAACAGCAACTACCAGGTGACGACAACCGCCCAGCATGCACCAGATGTCGCATCTCTGGACGAAGATGCATTCGCGCGCGACCACAGCTGAGATTCCTCAACAGCACGAGCGCTGAATACGAGCATGCTTCTGGAGGACAGAAGCAACGTAGTCCAACCACATCAGGTGTGTTGATACCCTGCAATTGCAAAAATATACTGAGACCATATACGCAGATGTATCGTTTGAGTATGTCGACGAGACACCCGCCGTGGCAGCTCTATACCAGCATGAACCCACTCCATCTGAAAGCCATCCACCCACTCCATATCCCCTCATCAGCCCTACAACAATACCTCTCATCCCGTGCACCGCACCGTCCCAAAATACATTCCTCGAGCCCAATCCCTCTTCCACAATCATACATACACCCCAAGCCCACCTCACCCTAGAAGAAGCCTGTCTACTCCGCTATTTCTCCGAAACTCTAGGTAAATGGGTATGTATACCCCTACCCCAATCCCCTCCCACCCCCCTAGTCCCCATTCCCATCAGCCCAACTCCACCTCAACTCATTTGACAAAACACAACAGTTCGATATCGGCGACCCCTCCCAAAGCTTCACCACCATCGTTCCCCAACGCGCGCGAACAAGTCCACCTCTCCTCGACGCCGTCCTCTCCGCCTCAGCCCGCCACTTCAGCACTCTTCCACAGGACCAACAACTACAAATCACCCGTCGATACGGCCTCTCTCAAGGCCTGACTATCGATGAACCCTCCACCCTGCACTACCATAACCGATGCATCGCGCATCTCCGCTCTGTGAGCACCGAGCCGAATGCCATTCTGGATGAGAATCTCCTTGCCGCGGTGGTAACGTTGAGGTTTTATGAGGAACTGGACAGTATGTATTAGCTCCCTCTTCAAACCATAAATAAAGGGGGGCGTGCGTGCTAATAAGGTGTACGGTATAGCGCCCTTCCACCCCCATCCCACCACTACCGCTATCCGTGGCTTGCAGGTATTTCTTGAAGCGCAGGCCCGGCCGACGCTTACTCTTACGGGTGATCATTCTACTTCTTGGGGTTTGCGGCAGAGTGCGTTCTGGGTGGGCGTGCGCCAGGAATTTCATATGGCGTTTACGCAGCAGCGGCCGTTTCGCATTCCGCTGGATATATTGGATTTGTATCCTGCTCCGCGCGGGGCTACGTCCGGGGATCATGAGTGGGTGAATGCGTTGTTAATACTGGCTGCGCATGTGATTCAGTTTTGTTTTGATGAGGGGGCGGCGAGGAGTGTCGTTGCTTTCAAGGGGCTGGTGGAGAGGAGGGATGAGTGGGTGAGAATGTGTCCGGGGTCATTTAGGGCGGTTTATTCTGATGATGGTGGTGGTGATGGTGGAGGGTTCCCGAATAGGTGGTATTTGGATGGATGTCATATCGTGGCGGCGCAGAGTTTGGGGTTTATTCGGATTCTGTTGGCGATGTATAATCCTTTGTTGTTGGGGGTGAGGGCTGGGAGGAGTATGATGATGGTGGAGATGGAGAAGGAGGTGAAGCAGGTTGTGTGGGAGGTTTGTGGCGTGGCGGTGTCGAATCGACAATCGCCTGCTGGGATGGTGATTGCGTCGTTTGCGGTGGTGGTGTGTGCGGAGTGGTTTGATGATGAGGGGGAGAGGGAGATGTTGAGGGGGTTTGTGAGGGAGATGAGAGGGGAGTGTAATTATTGGCCTGGGGTGGAGATGGAGAAGAGATTGGAGAGGATGTGGAGTAGTCGGGGTGGATAGGTGTTATGTATGCAATTGATGAGTAGTGAGAAGCTTCAGAATAGAAGTATGTTGAAAGCCACGTTGTTGACCGTATAGGAGTATATATGTATAAGTGGTATGTATCTCCAATCCACCATCCGAAACAATCAGCTCAAGGAATGAACAAGAAGGTAGATGAATAATCACAAATCAAACAAACAACTGGAAAGCATCCTATATACCAAAAAAACCAGGATATAATACAACGCCATTCAACACCGCACCATGGCGCAAAGACACAACAGTCAGGTCAGGTCCCGTCCATCAATCAATAAGTCAAAATCAAGGTGGTAATGCGTAATCGTCAATCGTACATGCAGTGGGTTATCGCGATGCTTGCTTGCTGGGGGAATTCGCTTTTAGGGAGAGATAGAGAGTAGGCAACGAGTCGAGGATGGGCGCGATAAGGAGTGTGAGGATATCAATAGAAAACGTCGGAGGAATAAGGAAGGTAGGGATGCGACTAGTAATGCGATGATTCATTTTCGGAGTCTGTGCAACGAGCGGTTCGTTAGTTTCACATCTAGAATAATCGAATCTTCCGATTGCAAGGGTTAACTTGACGGGTAAACGTACAGCCTGACTCTACATCCCTCGCTGCCGCGGCGGGCATCTTCCCGGGCATACTCATCGACTCGCGCTGAAAGATACCCAGATTCTTCAGACGGACCGTTCGCATGTAGGACTGTTGCTCGGCGGGATAGTTGTAGCGTTGTTGGGGGGCCTCGGGCCAGAATTGTTTCGTGAGTGCGGCCCCCAGTGAGACGAGGGCGAGACACACGACGATAACAATGACGATGATGGCCGAATCACTGAGCTTGGTCATGATGAAGCGACTTGTGTGGTATATACGCAGACTCTAGACAGATATCGATATGATTTTTTCGAATGTTTATTGATAAAGATGATAGATGGTGGCGTTCAGCGATCGCAACTTGCCGTGGTCTGTGCTGGATGCTAGCTGCGGATGTGGATGTATTTGGTGGATGGAGTTTGGAAGAGTGTATGTGTGTAATGTGGTGTGTCAAGCGGATAAGCGGATCCGAGTTAACGCATCACTTTGTTTGGGGCGGGGAATCGGACGGGGAAGAGAGGAAGGAGGTAAGAGTGTAAATATACGGTCGGCAGAAGAGAAGAGGAGAAGAGAAGAAGAGGAAGAAGAGAAACAGGAGGGATGGATGAGACACGCTGGGATGGAGGAGTTCGGAATAAGAATGCTGATAAGCCCGCAGCGATGAAAAATTCAAGCCGGTTTTTGGCTCCACTGTTTATTTATAAATGGGTCACTTGGTCGAGCTGGTTGGATGATTGTTGCTGCTGCTGACTGGGTTGGTTTGCTGGTTGCCCACGCGGCCAGTGCCAGTGCCAGTATTGTTGTATGTCTGTATGGTAACTAAAAAGGTACCGTGCTTGCTAGAATTACGCCAGCATCTTCCCAAAAGCCGGGCAGAGTGGCCCCATTGGCTGCAGGTGTGTCTGGAGAGTATATGATTGGCAGCTGATGGGACAAGAGTGGGTCTAATGATGAAAGAGCAAAAACACCAAAACACCAATGACTAAGGAATTGGTGGTGAGTGCCAGGATGTGGTCGGTAAGATTCGCATTGTTCGACAGATACGCCGATACGCCGATCACGAGAGAGAGAGAGGGAAGAATGAAAGCACCCGCGTCACGACTCTCTCTTCTCGCTTCTCTCTTCTCGCGACCAGGCAGCATTCCTTCCTTTCCACGTTTCTACACCATACTACACTATGTTTGGTTTACCGGATATATCTTTTCAATCCTCATGATGGTGCCCAGTCTTCGCTACCAGTCATTGTTCTGCCTACCTGGTGGGCTCCTCACCTGGTCTCGACGAGTCTACTGGCCAACGCGGTTCCGCCGTTCCCGAAAGCTTGATCGAGCGGATCGGTGCCTGGCAACTATCGCCCTTGCCTCATTGGAGGCGCATCATGCGCAAGTCGCAGTGCCCACCATCTGCTTAAAGTAAGTACTAGTTGAGTGACAGCACAGCCAGGCAGCAAGATCGACCACCTGGCTGACTCGAGCATCCAAAGATAAGTAATGTTATTTTTGACTTCAACTAGTTACGTACTTGGGCTTCTTGCTGACTGCCTCGTCTCTGCCGTATTGCCATCGCATTCTGAAACACGGGTGGAGCTGAAACACCCTTGATCCTTTTGCCCAACACCACCGACGTAATAAATCCCCCCGTGCGATCGACACTCTCAGCAACGGCGGTCGCGCACCACCAGCCCGACTACTTTCGCCGTGTGAAAATCAAGTCCAGTTCATCATGATATAACACAAAACAATCCTTCGACCGTCTGATCAAATCTTTCTCCGCATTTCCTGGCGCGAACTTCACATCAAAAGTCGTGACCAGATGTGCCACCGTTGCCCGCAGATTCTGAAGTGCCAATGGCTTGCCAATGCAGTTGTAAGTACCTAAACACAATCATTCGCCGTCAGTCAACAATCATAACCTGGTTTTCTCTACTCCAGGCAGAAGACATACCAATGTTGAATGGAACAAAAGCCGATTGATCGTTGATTAGCTCGGGCTGCTGGTACCACCGCTCGGGGATAAACTCTAGCGGCTTTTTATAGCTCAATTCCGCTGGTCCGTCGTTAGTCCACTGGATTTTTCGTCGCTCCGCCCACCGGGCTTGACTTACACCGTCCCATCGCAAGGGTTGGATTGATAACTATGGTGTTGCCTGGAATGGACACTCCGTTCACAGTGATGCCATCAGGAGGCATTATCCGTGGTACTCCCGACGGAACTGGCGGATACAGACGCAATGCTTCGTTGATGGCCCCGTTGAGGTGTCCCAAGTGACCAATGTCGCCGTCGTAGAAGTCTCCAAGGCCGCCATCCTTATTTACAGATGGGGCCAATTCCGCACGAAGCTTCTCGACCTCGTCGGGACGGTGGGCGAGCTCATAGAATAAAGCAACAAGAGTCGAGGCAGTGGTGTCACTATCCGCGTGAGACAGACATCTGTGGCTACTTTCACGGGAGCACTCACCTTCCAGCAACGATAATTAGCCGTGAATCTCCTCCTAGCCACTGTTGGTCCTCCTTCCCGGGCTCTTTGCCTTTGAAGGGTGCTAGAAGCGCTGCGCTGACGTCGGGAACATCAGGCTCATTCTGTCTGGTCAGCTCGGTGCTAGCGATGCAAGTGCGATAACTGCTCACCCTCATTCTCTCCACCAACCTCATCTCACAGTAATCCAGGAACTTATACCATCCCCTCTTCAATCCAGGAACCTCCAAGACCATACGGAAGAGCCACATGGGCAAGTAGCTGCCAACGAAGTCCATTGTCTCCATCATGATTTGTGTGGCCCAATGGTACTCACCTTGCTCGAGACAACCAAAACCCTCCCCGAATGCCAGGTCTCCCATCACGTCATAGGTGTATAGGTCGAACCACTTGGTCACATTCACTGGTTGACCCTCCCTTTCCATTAATCGATCTACGAGCTGCTGACGGTACCTGCGCACGCGATGCTCATATCCGCGTAGCTGCTTGCTGCCGAACGCGGTACTCCATAATCTCCGGCGCTGCTGGTGCTCGGCCGGGTCTCGACTTGTCTGCAATGACTTGTTGGGGTATGAGTGGTCGTACCAGCCGCTCTTCAAGCAGCGCGAAGCTGGGCCATGAATGATGTTGACAGCCTTGGGATCGATGACGGATAGAGTCGAGGGTCCAATACGGACGTAGGGCCCGTATTTCTCGTGCAGTTCAACCAGCTTGACATGTTTATTGTTGTTCTTCATCTGCGAAACGAGCCACAGATCCGAAACGCGGGCGAGCCATGGACCTGGGAACGATCCCAATGGGTGAATCACCAGACAATAGAGCAGTAGACTGCTGAAAGTGCCAAGAAGGTAGGATGCTGCATGCAGGGAGACGGTGACCAGGGCTTCTCGCCATGCGGTTCCCCATGAGACATGCAGGTAAGCGACCGAAGTGGCGCACAGGACACAGAAAACCTGCGTATAGGTGGTGCCGTAGAGTTGATGCTCGCCTCGCCGGAAATACGTAAGATGTGAAAACACGCCCACTAGAGCGGCAGTCAGCGTCGAGGACACCATGATTAAGTCGATGTGGCTCGCAAGCGCTGAAGTTGCGACTGGGGTACTGATATAGACAGGCATTAATTCACCCTGACCCGTCTGCTTCATATTTATCAAGCGGGGTGAGAAGAGGCGACGACTCGGTCGGTGCACTAGTACGACGCCATGATGAGGGAGCAGACGGGTCAGCTTGCATTACTCGTGCACATCCCTGCAAGTCGATGACCCCTCACCACTTGGCATCTTGCTGCCACTTAAGCAACGTCCTAACACTGCGACTCATGAAAGAGTATAACTTGACCACTCATACTAAGTATATAACCGGTGGTCAGCACTTCCCCAACAATCATCAGGGCACCACACGCATACCGCTGTCAGACAAGTCCAAAAGATGGGGGCGCAAAGCCTCAAAATTGCTGTCGAGGACTATAATCGCGCTGCATGGTTGGTGTGGGATACATGCAGGTTTTCTGCACCGTCACAATCAGGGTGGTCCGCGCACGCGATGTGAGCCAATGGACTGACTCTTCAGCCAGCTGACATCTACCAATCCAAATGCTCAAATTGCACGCTTACTTACCTTGTCTTAGGTAGTAGTCTTCTACCACTACCAACCCGACAGTGACACAACAAGATGGGGTACAGCCCACTGACAACGACACCATTTCCTACACGGACATGACTAGGCTTTCTGACTTACCAACTTCCTTAGCCTAGTGCGCTCTGTCCGATAAGTTTAAGTGTTTCAGCCTATAGTGAAGATTGAGACATGCACGTTAAGCCCGGCCACAGTCCTCTTGGCACTAGTCTAGCCTTCGTACTGGCTCGGTCCGTAGCGTCGTCTGCGACCAGCCCAACCAACCAACAGAAGGTGACCGCGAGTCCGTGTATCTTCATCAAATATGTTATTATCCACCCAGGATCGTCTCTCTGATTATTCCAGGAACCAAACAACCACAGATAAATATCCCACGAATCTGCCCTACAAATCCCTTGACCAAGACAACATATAGAACTATTCACCTACCACTTCGATTTCTTTCTGTCTCACCCATAGTAATACCACAGCCACATCATTCCACGTACCTCAAGCCCCCAACAAAACAAGGGAAGAAAAAGCTTATCCCCAAGAAGCAAAAGCAACTCCTTACAGTATTACAGAGCAATTAAGGCGAAATCATAACAGGGTGATATTGCTACCTACCTACACGTGGCCGTGCATAACTAAATGAGCAATTTCCTGCAATTGTGAACAAGTTATGCAAGTTTATTGTTCTTCATTGCTTACGTGATTTACTGCATAGTTGCACACTACATAACTAGCTCATCGCGGTATGCTAGTTACTAATAATGCCATTGTGTCAGTGTGTTATGCTCAGCCACAATACGAACATGTCCCGAAATCGAATTAGTAGACATAGTGCCAAGTTGGGCATATTTGACGAGGACCGAGGTACTACGTACATGAGATTTACATTATTCGGCATTTAGCATTTTCCACCAAGTATCTATTTGTGTCTATAGTGTTAGGTAAAAATAGAAGGATTGAAGTGACGTTTAAGCATTCTTTTACCGAGTACTGGCTATATTTATGGATCTACTTGCAATCCTGCTTAAATCAAAGGGATAGTGTAATGCTCTCTCTAGCATTGAAGCCTATATACACTGAGAGTCATGATAAATATTCACATGCACACACACACACACAGCAACGATAAGAGGAAACGCTGAAGCATCCAATCCGGCGGTGAAACACAGAGCGTATCCATAATCCACCCCGAGTGGGATGGTCAGCGCCGCCTAGATCGACACAGCACTGCGTCATTACCCCCCTCCCCCCCTCATCCGGTTTCGGAAAGTTGACCGAATGCCCCATCTCAAGTCCGAAATTTGGGGCAGAAGTTCGTACTAGTCAAGGCCGAACAAGTAGATAGTCTTCTGTCATATCAGGCTATCTAGCGGGGATCCGGTAGATAGATAGTAAGACAACTAGTGACCGGGTTGGTGTGTTTGCTGCCAGCAGCAAAAAGATGAGAGTCGAGAGATGCCAAGTCAGCGTTCCGGATGCCACACCGGGCCGGGTACGGCAGGGCGATGATTGGCGGTGGCTGGAAAGGTAAAGTGCTAGGGCTAGGGTACGGAAAAGTCACCCTTTTCCCGATGGGCGGATGGGTTTCCCGATCGGGAAACTCAACATTTGACCGCCGACCACCTGGCGGGGATGGGCCCCATTTTCTCGGTGCGGTTATCGCAGGCAACGGAGTTGGTTTTCTTTGAGTCATTCAGAATCATAATGGACTTCTGACATCCTGATTGGCCATCGCAGAAAATCAGTCCTCACATCGCCGCAATTGCTGGTGCAGGAACGCCCGGCCTTCGGTATTGGCGAACCCGCCGATCCCGAACGCGGGAATAATCCGACACATACGCGTCAGGGACGCCCCGATCCAGTCCCTGCTCACCCGACTCAATCGGTCCGAGGCCGAGAGTTGCATGGGCCGGTTGTAGAGATCAAGCCCGAGTAGATGAATTGGAGTGCTGACCAGCTGAATGGAGGCCGGAATGACCAGCTGCGCGAACAGGATCTTCAGGTATTCGCTGGAGGCAATAGAGTCCGGGATGGAAGCTGAGACCATGGCGGGGAGACTGAAGGAACCGAAGATGGTGAGGGCATCGCGCACCAGGAAGGCCGAGTAGGTGGCAAAGGGGATGGTGCGGCTGACGGAGCGGAGGATCTTGCTTTGGGACGGAGCAGCAGAGGTCGTGGTCTTGGGAGCAGGAGTGGGAGGGGTGGCGTTGCTGTGGCCGAACAGCTGGGCGAACTTGACGTCCTTCCAAATGCCCACAGACGAGTTGACCACAAAGGTACTCATGAAGGTGGCCACCCCTGCCATGGCATGGTCGACGTGAGGGTAGACTTGGTCCAGGATGGTCTCTGTAGCATTGGCGGCTGCAAAGGTGGCTGTGTAGAGAGACCAGACGAGCAGAGTGGGTCGAGAGGTCAGGAAGGTGGCAGGCTGTGTGATGGAGAGCCAGAGGTGGCGGCGGAAGGCAGGAAGCATAGGTTGGTTGTGCGATGACTTCTCAACGACCAGTCTAGATGATAGTCAGTACCACTGCCAGGTGGGTGAACAGGAGAGGAAGCTCCTACCTGTCTAGGATCATAACAGCAGGAGTGACCAAGGCTGCCGAACCTGCAGCAACCATCACATCCGCCGTGAGGAAGTCACCCAACCGGCTGCGGTGCCCCGCAAAGGGCAGGGACTGATGAACAGGGAAGTCGAAATCCATGCTGACGAGCAGCGAGCCACTCCTCGCTCTGACTGGGGAATCAGATGTAGTGGCGGTGTTGGACAAGGAGCACTTCTATGCAGATAACACAAAGGAAAGTCGAAGCAAGGGAACGACGTGAGAGGAGTGGTATACTGAGGGGTGGTTAGTATACAAAGCGAGTATAGATGGGGGGAATGGCGGGGAGCCACTGACCTAGATAGATGGGATGTACCGCTGAAAGCAACGCTGAACCGGGGTAAAAAGGAGTGAAAGAGTAGAGGGTATAATGAGGGACCGACAAAAGGAGTGGACAACCCCGGGTTCAAGGCTTATAAGAAACGAGATAGAATCATGACCGCCCGCATCACCAGGTTGCCCAACACACCGTGAATCAATACTGCTTCCTACTAATCTCCCACACAAAACAGGCTGCCGAATCGAGGGGGGAACGATATTCGGCGGCAAGGGCCAATGGCATCAACCGGGCCGGGACCCGGGTACCCTCGGTGATTTGGCGATAGGCACCGCCTTACCCAAGCCGGCACTTCCTGTACCTAATGGAAACTGAGGCTTTTTTGGGTTGAAGTGGAGCGTGTTCTAGAAGGCATTGCCAGGACAGGTGAGTTGGCGATCCACCGCCAATGATGCTGTTCGTTGTGCTGCAGCTTGGAGTGGAGGGGGTGCGGCCTTGGGAAGCCCTAAACGTACCTGACCGAGTGGCCGCCCTCCGCATGATCGGCCGATTTGCAGGGTTCACTGGATGGTACCTGGCACACGTAGACTTCTCGACAGCATGTTAGAGAAGAGATGAAACAGTCCGACGGGGACACTCATCCAGCTGGCAAGTCCTTGTACCTGGGTTAGGGCCGATGGGGTGCCTAGGGGTGGTCGCGTGGTGCCGCAGCCAGTCCAGGGACTCTACAGTGCACAAGTCGATGCACTGGCAGACTAGGGCCCGAGGATGAGCTAATATCTCCCCATGATTTGCAATAAATAAGTCTAATATTTATACTTAGGCATCGCACTGCCTGGTTGGGCCAATCACCGTGCCGGATCCCGAGCATAGATAAGCATCGCAGATATGCCCCTCTACAGATCCACTGCTGGGACGAGGCCACAGTACATCGCACTCACTATCCATTTGATTTTCGGGTCTACTTTCTTCCCCCCTACACCTCATGGTTGACGCCCGGCCACACCCTCTCTAGTCATAAAGCCACTTTATTGCTCTCGGGCTTATTTGTTCGTCTACCGTAAATCAAACCTGTCCCGCATGTGCCTGCAAATCCAGCCTGGTCAAAAAAAACCATAAACGAATGCCTGTAGCAACAGAACGCTTCCAAATAATTCACAGAAAAATGATCTTCGAGTCCACCCCAGATCCTCTATCTCGAGGGTCGTGTCGAGGATGGATCTCGACGTGGGTGTTATCGGCGTTGGTATCCACGCGCGGCTCACATGATCACACAGCACGAATTCTGCTTCTTCGCAGAGGTGTAGAACATCTTCGACTGGGCACTAAGTCCCTCCGACTTGGACACGAGATCGTCGATCTTCTCACCGCGCTCGAGGACCTGGTCGGGGTTAGCATCAATCTACCCATATGTTCCCGCGCAGCACATACGCTCTCGATGGTCTTGTGAAGAACGATCTTGGTCTCATCCAGCTCCTTTTGGATCTTAAGGATGCTATCCACCTGGTGTGGGTCCTGGTATGCCTGGATGTAGGTCTTGAGGGAGGGGAAGGGCACCGGGTCACGGGAGGAGGCGGCGTTCGGGTTAAGGGAGAGAAACTCGTCGAGCATCTTCGAGAGGATCTGGTGAGCAGCCAGGGATGGATACTCATTGTCGCTAATGATGACTCCGGCGATGCCTTGGGTTCGCGCGTAGACGTGGAATGTGAAATCTGTAGGCGACCGGCGGTCAGGGGCTGCCGCAGAGGCGATGGAAAGATGACACCGAGGGACGCCAACTTGCCTTGCTCTTGAATGTCCTGTCTCTGTCCTTGTTTCGTCCGTTCGGCGACGGTCTTACTGAACATCGTCATGAACTCGCTGACGCTGCCTTTGGTGAAGCGCGAGTAGCTGCTGAGGTCGCGCTCGGCGCAGAGCTCCACAGCGGGAGCTTGAGCATTTTGGAGAATCTGCGAAGATGAGTGCGGTCAGACACCAGAAATGATGAGCAGAGGATTTTCGCCATTTCCTTACCCCTAGATACACGAGCTTCATGATGGCGAGGATGAGACTGGGAGAGGCTGACGTCGTTGAGCTGGCAAAGTTGCGGGGATTCCCAAAGAAGGGTCCCGACCGCCCTTCACCGCCCTAGTGCCTGAGGCAGTAACAGATCCCTTTCTAGCTTCCATCTCCTTCGCTTCTTCTCCTCAGTTCCACTTCGCTAAAGCGTCTACTCTCGCCTCTTCGGCATACCTATCGGCACTGGTCTTCTGATAAGAGGGGAGTCATGCTGTGGCTTATTACATGACTCCTAGAATGGACTGTCTGATCAGATGCACAGCTGCATTCCAGAAGTACCGGTTGCGTGCCGTGCCACTGCTTCGACACCCTAAGCCTTATTTTTCGGGCATCTCCGAAGTTGTATGGGTATTTGATTGACGAGGCTTGCTCCTTAAGGACTATAGTTCCTATCCCGCTATGGCACCTGTTAAAGTCGAATTGCATGTGCCATGATGTGCGGAGATCGCAGAGATGCCTCAGGACCCTAACACGAGGCTTCAATAGGCGAATAACAGTTACTTGTACGCCGCCGTATCTCAATCCGCAATCAACTGAAACATACGGAATGCACCAACAACTAGGATGTCTAACCTGTGCCAATAAGGTGCAATGATGAACAGCCTTCGGTCAACTTAACCGCTCTCCGTCACCTCGACGTAGTTCCTACGCAATATTGCACATTGCCTTCTACTAATGGCAGTGTGATCTAGGCTTTGTAGACACTTGCTTGCTTGAGAAAGTCGATACCTCATCATCTTGGAAATGACAGGAATTCAGCTGTCACCGTTAGGCTACTTACGTAACTATGCTGATAGCAGAGATATCTCGAATACTGGTGAACAGGCCAACATTTTAATGCTTCATGGTCAGAACCAAGTAGTTCAGGTTGTGTACCGGCACTGACCCGTCTGTAGGTCATGGTCAATCGATTGATATGTTCCACCACAAAACGCACTTCCTCCAAGAGGCCCTCAATTCAGGTAGGTCTCAGAGCAACCGATCACTACCACATTTCAAGCTCCATTACAGTGAAGCGCCTTTCGACGTGAACGGCCCAAATATGGAGTCCAAGGTTTGGGGGTATGGGATTTTTCACTGCCAGCGAATCTCGGGCCTGGAACAGAGTGTGAAGCGCGTGCTAAAGCAGCTGGAACACCTTAATCCGGTTGCTGGTATAATTGGATTTTCGACCGGTGCTACCCTGGCGATGATCATCGCATCCTTACTGGAGGAGCGAGATCGCGGCCTTATTTTTGGCGTCAGTGTGGGTATAGTATTTGTGTAACTTGACCGATTCTATGGCTTACATTGGCAGACCACTCACCCACCGCTCAGATTTGTCGTCGCATACAGTGGTTTTATGCTCGGCCATCCCATGTATAGAGATCTGTTTCATCCGAGGATTCGCACCCCTGCCCTACTATACATTGGCGAAGTGGACACAATGATTACGCCGAAGTCTACGTACCGCCTGGCAGAATGCTGCAGTCATGCCGAAATTCAGACCTTCTGGGGGACACATTACGTTCCCAGACATATGAAAACAACTGATGTCGCTGTCACCTTTGTCTATCGGTGTTTAATCGGTGAGCCCGAGGAAGAAAATGAGCAACGAAGCCGGTCGGCACCGAAGACGGATGAATTGACCCTGAACAAGCACCAGGAACCGGGAAAGGCGTTCCCGGCTAAGGCTCCCAGACGACGGCTAAGAATGCGGGATGCGACGTTGGCTAAAAAGCCTGCCGGGAGCGCCAAGTAAGGGATGGCTGTCACCACACGGCTTACCACACGGCCTGTGTAACCTCTGTATGCCCTCCACACTAGATCGTGAGATAGGCTCCATCGAGGACCCAGTTGGAGGGTTGGAAATGCAACGCCAGCGTTCAGAATCTTACGAAGGGCCTCTGTTGTGCCTGATCTGACCTTCTGAATGCAACTCTACTATTAACGCAAACAGTAAGCCTGCCACGAATGCGACGACATCTAGCGAAACTAGCCATGTTCAACCTCAGACGGGGTCAGGTACGATCTGGCAAGACAAAGGCATAAATAGCCCTGTTTAACCCTCGTTCTTCTCATCCTCATCATCATCAGCCATTCGCTCAATCACCAAGCTACTTCTATCTTTCGATTCAAATCAATCTTCTAGCACTCTTTCGAGTCATCACTCCACCGTCACAATGAAGTTCACTGCTGCTGCTGCTCTCGCTCTTGCCACTGTGGTTGTGGCTCAGCCCTCCGTCCGCGGCCGCGCTGTCAACCACATCCCTGCCCCTGCCGGCATGACTGTCTCTCAGGGAGCCGACTCCTGCGGTAGCGGCAACCAGCTCTCCTGCTGCAACAAGGCCACTTATGCCGGTGACTCCACCGACATCGACAGCGGTCTCCTGTCTGGCCTCTTGAGCGGCCTCATTGGCTCTGGATCCGGCTCCCAGGGTATTGGCTTGGCCGACGACTGCTCCCCGCTTGACCTCCAGGGTATGTATTTCGCTATAGGATAAGAACTGGCTCTGACATCTATAGCCCTTGACCTTGTCGGCCTGCAAAACTTGCTCAACGACCAGTGCGAGCAGACTGCCGCCTGCTGCCAGGGCAGCGGCAGCGACACTGTAAGCAATGAACCACCTGACCCCTTCTTGATCCCTCATACTGATGTATTGCAGGAGGGTGATCTCATCGGTCTCGGCCTCCCCTGCATTGCTCTGGGCTCGCTTCTTTAAGCGCGTGGTTATGGCACCGGCTATCTATCCATTTACATTATGGATTTAGTTATCATC